GCACGCACGCACGCACGCACGCACGCACGCACGCACGCGCGCGCGTGCTACACCACACTCACAAGTTGTCCTCGTCCATGTCATCAAACATGACCTTGAGCTTCCGGCCCAGGGAGATGGTCTCAGGGTGGACGACGCACAGCTCCGACATGCGGGCTGCCCCGGGATCACTGACCACACACATACCGTTGCCGTCAATCTGATACGGCAGGAACAGGATGCCAGAGGCACAGGACATCTGAGGGGGAAGAAGGGAATTAGTTTTAGTAAGGGTTTTACAGCACTTGCAATACAATAAGGTCAAATAAGAGATGTTTAGTTCTAGTCACAGTTTTACAGCCCTTGCAATACAATAAGGTCACACAAGTGTCGGAGATTAGCGGTGTTTTTGTATACAAAGGAAGAGAGATAAGGACAATAGATTTTTTTATGAGACTGAAGGAGCAAACCACACCAGGGCACCCATCACCACCCATTGGGGGGGGGGGGAGAGAATAAAGCACCTTGAGATAAAACCAGAAAACTGACTTGGAAACCCCTGTAACTCAAAAATAAAATTAGGAACTAAAAGCATCTCCTCGATCTAACCACAAATCTAACGCAGTTCTGAGCTATCCCCAGTGCAACCGCCCAGAAGGACCCATGCCTTTTCATCTCCTCACCAAACTACACAAAAACAATATGTGAGGCAGCGTGTTGGAATCAGGCACTCGTCAATTTTTGGGCATGTGGAGTTATTGGTGTCACCTTAAAGCCTGTTCATTTGTCTATCTTTCTGTGGAAAAAGTACCCCTCTATCTTTAATAGAAGTCGAAATATTATATGAAGTAAATAGGGTAACCTGATTTCAGAGGGAAAATAAAGGAGAAAATGACCGCCAAAACTTGGTATCTTTGAATGCGTGAGAGTCCTTGAAAACTGAAAATGTACATTTTTTGTGCCTTTAATCAACGTTTTTCAGGATAATAAAACAGAAATGTGTTTTTAAAAGGACACAAAAGCTGTTGAGCTTAAAAACAAAAATTGGATAAAAATTGCCAAATGGGCTGAAAAATGTCTATATCTTTGAGTTGATTATTTGGACGAGAGCCTGATTCCACCACGCTGACTCACATATCTTTGATTTGATTATTTGGACGAGAGCCTGATTCCACCACGCTGACTCACATATGGATTTTCCTTTAGACTTCACACTCTG